GAAAACTTGTAAGAATGTTCTGCAACTTCTGTTGCTACCATGGGCGAACACACGTTATGGAAAGAGTGGGAAGTTGCCCATTTGGCTCCCGAAAAACCCTTCACCAAAGCCATTTTACCCACCCAGACTGCCTGAAACCGCGTTGTGAGGAAGGACAAAACTTGAGCAGCAACTGCTGCCAGGTCAAGAGGAGGAAGAAGAAGCAATATTATAAAAGGAAAAACGATGTCGTTTGGCTGAGCACTTAAAGTGGGTGATGACGTTTTATTCAACTAGAACTAATCCTTTGACCTTTATGGCCCACATGTCATTTGAACCTAAGCATCTCTAAATAATTTTTTATTCGTTCTGTTTGATGTTTTATTTGTTTTATTTTCCCTTTTATGAACTAGGTATACTTATCTATTTTTTATATAAAACATTTATCATACTTATCTAAAAATAATAACTATGCACATTGTTTGACGACTATAATACCTACAATTTGTAAGTGGTGTTTTGCATTAGTTGTTTAATTGATATAGAATTAGCGTAATATGTTATTTTTTATTTATTTTGTTTCTTTTGTACAATTATATAATGTACATAATAATACTATAAGAAACAGTGCTTAAATCATTCTTCAAATATTCCAAGTACAATGGATAGTCCTTCTTCGACTATTTTCGGATAGTCTTTCTTCGAATATTTCGGTTACTCCAAATCCTCCTTCGAGTATTCTAGGTAGTTATAAACGACATTAATATTGTCTACTATGTACAAGGATTTGGTTGTTTACATTTTTTTCTAAACCCTTTACGCTTTTAAATTTCACCCCTTTTGTTGAAATTTTTTGACTTCGCCACTGAGTAACATCATCTGTTATATTAACAAGAAGAAGAAAAACAATGCGGAATGATGGTCCTCAAGGCTCCGCCACTGGTAGAGAGTATATACGCAAACATGAAAGGGTCTAGTTCACATGTGAAATTATATTATTATATTAGTTTATTCAACTGTATCTTGCCTGGGCCTAATTGTCCCAGCACTTTGTTTCCTGCCTAGTCGATTTAAACCCAAAAGAAAAGGGCAGAGCTTCAGGCCCAATATTATCCAAATTATGCATTAGTCGAACTAATTTAGGCCCATAGTAGAGTGATTCGATATATATTCAAACTAAATTAAAAAGATCCAATCTACATAAGAAAAATGGTGTTCAGAAAATTATGCCATTTGTTTTATAATAACCGATATTACTAGTCAGGATAGGAGGTGGTTAAGAAGACCCTATTCACCCAAGCAATTCATCAATACAATGGCTGGAAACAAAGAAGAGGTGAAAAGTGAAAAAGAGTGAAAACAATTTCTAGTGGAACAAAGGGTATTTCGGAGCAGGACTTTGACCTCTCTAATGAATAAGAAAATGATAAACACACACATCGGTTTTAACGTCTTACACAATCTATTTAATCGTGTTTATTGTTTTCGTTTGATTTTTTCCATGATTAATTTGTTATTAGAGTCTACTTCAAAGAATGACTGAAAAAAATGAGGAACCTCACAAATCATCGAATTATTTTCGTTTGATGTCCACCAAAAAAAAAAAAAAAAAATTGATGTTAAAATTCTCTGAGGCTGAGAATTCCTTGCCCAAGACAATAAAATTTTGAAATGTATTAGAGTAATGCTCAAATGAAACAACAGTTTTCTATGTACAAAATATTTGTTATTGTAAGAGTATAAACAAACACAAAGATGAGGATCCAAGTAGAGTGAACAAGCACAAGGATGAGGATCCGAGTGAAGGAGAATCAAGGGTCTAGATGTTGACAGATGTCACAAGATGCAAAGGGAGTTATAAGGGTTGTTAAAACTGTTAGAATATGTTGTTAGTTAGGATGTTATCCATACCGTAGCTTATATTACAAGCCATGTAATAATATCAATACATATAGAGAAACTGTAATACATTACTTCTCACTCAAGTAACACAAAACTCATCTTCCAAAACTCTCGATTTCTCTCTCTTTCTGCAACTCATAGTTTCTGCGACTGCTTCCATTGAAGCTTCTTCTTCAATCTTCAATCTTCACATGGTATCATCGCTGTGCAATGATCCGGCGCTTCCGCACCTCCATTAAAGCTTTCATTTCTTTTCTCTACCCTCTGATTTGCAACTAGTTCTGTGATAAAATTGCCTTTCCTCAACCTTAAAGTCTTCAAGAAATTGTTCTTCTTCTTCTGCACACCAACTATCCGCTAAAACGTCATAGTGAAAGAATTCTTCAAAGCATCAACAGTAGTTACCGTTGATTAGTTAAAGATTGTTCGGTCTCCCATCACAGGCCTGATATCAAGTATTTCTACCTCAGTTCTAGTGAAGTTAGATGATTCCAACTATCTAACTTGGAGTTTTCAGATCACATTACTCTTCGAGAGTCATGGAATTATGGGGTTTGTTGATGGACCAAGAAAATTTCCTCCAAGATTTGATAATAGTGACAACACTAAAGGAGTTGAAAGAGATGATTATCTTGTATGGAAAATGCACGATCGTGCTCTTGTGCAGTTGTTGATTGTAACTCTGTCCACTACTGCAATGTCCTGTATAATTGGAAGTCAAAGTTCTCATGAAATGTGGGTCAATCTTGCTAAGAGATTCTCGACAGTAACAAAAGCTACAATAATTCAGATGAAAACTGAGCTTCAGAACATCAAAAAAGGGTCTGAATCAGTTTCTGTGTACTTACAGAAGATCAAAGATGCAAGGGATCACCTTGCAGCTGTAGGGGTCACTTTTGAAGATGATGATATAATCATCCTTGCACTCAAAGGTCTTCTTGCAGACTTCAACACTTTCAGGTGTGTCATAAGAGGAAGAGAGAATGGTATATCATTGAAAGATTTTTGTTCTCAATTACCGGCAGAAAAGACTACAATTAGTCAATACTATGAAGCTTCAACACCATTTGGTTTTGCAATGGTTGCTAGCACTGAAGCAAACAAGGGTAAACCACTAGTTCTTGATCAAGAATCATCACATTCTGTTGAGTTTGGTTATAGCTTTGGAACTACTACTCAAAACTACAAAAGCAATAGTGGTGGATCAAGTTCTACTAGTTACAACTCTGGTGGTCAATATAACAACTATGGTGGTCAATATCAAGGCTCTTTCAATTATGAAGGCTATAAGGGGAACAACTATAGAGGAAAAGGAAGATGAAGATCATACCAATCTGGGCTAAGGTCTTATAATCCTCCACCAAATGGAAGTTCTGGAATTCTTGGTGCTCCAAGACCATTTTAAGCCAACTGCCCAAATCATCCATATGAGATACCAACTTGCCAAATATGCAATAGACTCAAGCTCTAATCCTCCAATTTCATGCTAAATTTGTTGGAAATTTGGTCATTCAGCTCTCCAATGCTATCATAGAGGAAATTTTGCATATTAGGGTAAATCTCCAACACCAACTCTCACTGCAATGCATGCTAATCATCAGCCATCTGCACCTACAGAGCAATTTTGGGTTGCAGACACTGGTGCAACCTCACACATGACACCTGAGCTAGCCAACTTGGAATTGGCAAATCTATATCAAGGTAGTGATACAATAACCATAGCTAGTGGTGTAGGTTCGCACATTTCTCATATAGGAACTTCACAATTGCACACTCCAAATCACAAACTTGTATTGAAGAATGTGTTATATGTTCCAAAAATATCCCAGCATCTATTATCAATTTATCAACTTTGTAAAGACAATATATGCATGTTCATATGTGATGATGTTTCCTTTTGGGTTCAGAACAAAATCATAGGAACAATTCTTCTTAATGAGGGGCGGCCGCCCTTTTTCTCCTCAAAAAATAAGCCCAGGAGCGTGTACCCGCCCCTTTTGTCAGTCGAAAAACTTATAAGAATTTTTGACAACTTCTACTGCTGCCATGGGCAGACACACGTTATGGAAAGAGTTGGAAGTTGCCTATTCGGCTCCCGAAAAACCCCTTCACTGAAGCCCATTTTATCCACCCAGACTGCCTGAAACCGCCCGAGCAGCAATGGTGGCTAGGTCAAGAGGAGGAAGAAGATGCAATATTATAAACAAATCTTAGCAAACGATGTCGTTTGGCTGAGCACTTAAAGTGGACGATGACGTTTTATTCAAATAGAACAAATCCTTTGACCTTTATGGCCCACATGTCATTTGAACCCAAGCATCTCTAATTAATTTTTATTTGTTCTGTTTGATGTTTTATTTGTTTTTTTTTCCCTTTATAAACTAGGTATAATTTATCTAATTTTTTTATTTAAAACATTTATCATACTTATCTAAAAATAATAACTATGCACATTATTTGACGACTATAATACCTGCAATTTGTAAGTGGTGTTTTGCATTAGTTGTTTAATTGATATAGAATTAGCGTAATATGCTTTTTATCTATTTTGTTTGTATTGTACAATTACATAATGTACGTAACAATACTATAAGAAACAATGCTTAAATCATCTTTTAAATATTCCTGGTACAACGGATAGTCTTTCTTCGAATATTTTCGCAACATTAATATTTATCTACTATGTACAACGATTTGGTTGTCTACATTTTCTCTGAACTTTTTACGCTTTCAAATTTCACCCCTCATGCAAAAAATTATTGACTTCACCACTGTGTGTAGGGTTGACTATTACCTTGTAAGCACCTCGAGCCTGGTTTACAAGGTTTAGTTCATTTCTTTCTTCCTATGGCTTCGTTCAAAGTCGAGTAGACACTTCCCTTTTTATTCTCAACCGCGGTACTCATACTACAGTGCTCATCCTCTACGTTGATGACATAGTTTTGACAGGCAATGATCCCACACTTTTACAAGACTTTATCCAGGCTTTGGGTTCTGTTTTTGACTTGAAGGACTTACATCCTTTACATTATTTTTTGGGTATTCAGGTACAAACAACCACTACTGGGATTCATCTTTCCCAAACAAAATATGCATATGACTTATTGAAGCGAGCAAACATGGTTGAATGCAAGCCATGTTCCATTCCAGTTGCTGCCAAGACTTCCCTCTCGGCCAATGATGGCCAGTTGCTCTCCTCCCCCACTGAATTTCGAGCTCTAGTTAGTTGTCTCCAGTACTTGACCTTAACCCGGCGGGACATATCATTTGCCGTCAACACTGTCGCCCAGTTTATGGCTTCTCTTTGCCAGCCACACCTTCTGGCTGTTAAACGCATTCTACAGTATATCAAAGGCTCGCTTACTCATGGGTTGTTACTTCGTCCCCAACCTGTTCCTTCCCGTATTTCCGCTTATTCGGATGCGGATTGGGCTGGTTTTGTTAATACCCGTCGCTCAACAACGGGATATTTAATTTACCATGGCAGTAATCTGGTGTCATGGTGTTCCAAGAAGCAACCAACGGTCTCCAAGTCTAGCGCTGAGTCAGAATATCGAGCTTTATCTCATGCGTGTTCAGAAACGACGTGGCTCTCCTACCTATTTTATGAGTTAGGTATTGCTACTCAGTTTCCCATTCACCTCTACTATGACAACCTCAGTACCACCTACATGGCTGCAAACCCTGTATTCCATGCTCGGACTTCACCACATTGAGTTAGATTACCACTTCATCTGTGAACGTGTAGCTTTGGGCAGTCACCAGGTTCGTTTTCTGTCTTCCATCGACTAGCCTGCTGACTTACTCACCAAGGGCCTTCACAAGCCACGTCATCATCTTCTTCGGTCCTAACTTGTTCATCCTTCGACGCCAAGTTTGCGGGGGGATGTTAAACAAGAGTCCAACATACGTTAAACTTAGTATTGTATTCTGACTTTTGATGATAATATTCTTATCTCTTGTATCTGATATAGATGGGAACTTAAAATCCTAATAGGACTCTTGTACATCAACCTTATGTAACTATTTATACAGAGGAATGAAGCAATGAAAATCAATGCTTTCATAAATATTTTCTCACCTTAGTTTGGTTTTCTACAAAGTGTAGCTACATTTCGAATTTTGTTCTGGTTCAAAAGGAGTAGCAACTCTGAAATTAATAGAATGGTGATGTAAAAGTTTACTGAACCACACAACCTATTTATTCAAAAATGATATAAGAAATGATAAATATAACACTGGCATTTGGATTTAATTGCCTCATTCAAGTCAATAGTAGCTTTTCCATGGGTTAATTGCACCAGCCAAACTCTTTTTTAATTTTAATTTTAATTTTTTTAATTTTATTTTATATATAAGCGATAGAAGGAATTATCTAAATTTATGAAATAGAAAAATGCCAAACTCTCGAATTAGGATTCGTTTTAGATAGCTTCTTAATGAAACACTTTTATTTATAAATGTTTTTGCTGTAAATACTTTCATTAGAAACGTGTTTGAACTGTTTATTTAAAATCAAGTGGTTCCTCTTGGGAAGTATTTTTTTTTTCGGAAAACCACTTGAAAGTGTTTCTTAGTATTTAACAAGTTTTTCTCTAGAACGCACTTTTTGTGGCCCAAACCAAATCCTAAACCCTTTGCTTCAGCGAAGGGGTCAATTGAGGTGAGAAACAATATGCTCTCATATATCGCTTTCACTTGTTGGCATATATGGAAAGCCCGGTGTAATATGCAATTCAACCAGCAACCAATTGATCCTAGGCAGGTTATTTTGGCCATATCTATATCGGTCTCTACATTCAAAGAATCCAGGGGTGATCCTCGGACTACGCCTCAACCTTGTGTCCTGGATCAATTGGTTGATGTTCGTTGGTCTCCTCCGTGTCCGGGTTTTGTTAAGATAAATGTGGATGCTAGCTGGGGATCTTGTGATGGACGGGGATTCACAGGAATTGTTGCACGAGATGAGGAAGGGAGGTTTCTTGCTGCTAGTAGATCAGGTGTGAAGGCTACTAGTGTGGCTATGGGAGAGGCCTTGACAATCTTGCACGGGTGTATGCTTGGCAAGAGGATGGGATGGAATAGGATTATTTTAGGGTTCGACTCGTTGGAGTCGATTTCTTGCCTTAGGGACATGGCTAAGAAAGGCAGTTGGGATGCCTTCCCCTATCTTCTGAATTGTATTAGATTGGGAAAGGAGTTTCTTGATTGTTGCTGGTCTTGGGTTCCAAGACCGGCCAATTCGGCAGCGGACCATTTGGCATCGCGAAGTAGTAGGGAAGTATGTGATCAAGTGTGGGTAGTTAGACCCCCATCTTCCCTGGTTCATGTTTTGTGTAACGATGGTTTACCTTGTCCACCCTAAGGGTTTGTGGTAGTGTGTGGAGGGACGCTCTAGCATTTGTTGCGGCGTCGTGTTCTCTCTGTAACCTCCTCGCTCTACTCTTTCCTAGTAGTTGTTGGCTGTTTGCTTTGGTGTAGGCTCTCTTTGTACTATTTGGCATCTTTGCCCGGTTATTGATTCTACTGATTTCAAAAAACCAAATCATAAACACTTTTAGTAAGTAAAAGTTTTTAGCCATACTACAAGTAAATTTTAGACAAGCTCTTAGTTTGGTTCACTAAGGCCATCCTCAATGGAGAGGGTTAAAGGTCCAAAAATAAAAAAATGGCCTAATTTGCCCAAAAATTTAACTCCAACCGATGGTTGCCTTATAATTCTATGGAGTCCACAAGATCATTATTTGGCTAAAGAGGTATCATGCTGGCCAAATGTATCCCCTTTTAGCTTTTTAATTGGAGTCCAACTCCTCAGTTGTAACAATTGATTAAAATTTAACAGTCAGATTTGAAAACATCTAAAGGTAGTTTAATAACTAATAAATTTAAAGTATAAACTTAAAACTAATAAATTATTAAGGAACTATATTTAGTCCGTTCAATTAGAGATGATAATGAGTATGATTTGACATTGTCTATTTAAAAATAATTGTTTACACAACTATATTTAGGCAAATGGCTAAGCTGGCTGGTGTGATAAAATTGTACTTTAGTGGTTGATGTGACATTTTAGCTAGTTCGTTTGTCTTTAAGAGTAGTTCCACCATGGGCTATTGTCGATGGACTGGCTCTCAAACAAGGCCAGAGATCCTGAGTGGGGAGGTCTAGCGTGTGCTGGCAATGGAGCCTGATTGGGCCTGAGGGAGAGGCCCGGCAGAAGTTGCCAGCTTGAGAGCCCGAATGCCACGTGACGCAAGGTTGACGTCTGGGCAATGTCAGCCACGTTTTATATATTTTTTGCATTAGGCGAGTGCGCTTCAAGCATGCGTCGTCTGACACAAATTCAGAGCTGGGACCCGCATCGCTTTTCTGAGATGTTACTGTTAGGGAGGCCACGTGGCTTCCCCACGTTCATTGGATTTCAATGGCTATATTTTATGGACCATTGGATTTCCAACGGTAAATTTTTTTTAAAAACCTTATTTAATTTTAGCCGTTGGATCTGAGATCAACGGTCCACGTTATTCAGCTTTATAAATTAAAAAAAAAGAAAAATAGTTTAAAATTCTGAAATGTTACCGTTGTGCCACGTGACACAATCTGGAATGTTGGAATTCAAATTTTTTTTATCCAACGGCAGAGATTAATTATGTAAATAAAAAAATGTAAAAAATTAATAACAATCAGAAAAAAATTGCAAAAAAAAAAATTTTACTTTTCTATAAATACCTTCTTATTATCTTCTATCTTACACCACAATTTCATATTTTCTCAACTACTTTCAACCACATTCCTATCTTTCTCTCAAAGTTTCAACCCAATTTTTTTGCAATAAAATGACTAATGATGCATGTATGAATTGGACGCTTTTTGAAGATGTAGCATTGCGTATTAGCTGGGTTGAAGTTACTCATGATCCGATTACGGGGTAATGAGATGCAGTTGCGAGAAATGTGGAGTCTTATTCATACCAATTATCTTGAGAAAATTGGTGGGAAAAGAACCAAAGAATCGATGTCCAGTCGTTGGAAATTACTTAGCCAATCGTTTAGTACGTGGTGAGACGCCTTGACACAAGCTAGTAGTAATATTTGAAGTGGGGAAAATTTAGCGGATCAGGTAACAATATACTATTTATTTGTTTGTACTATACCCAAATTTACATTACCTACTTTGATTATAATTATTTCTTCTCCTGCATTGTGTAGGAACTTCAAGCACAAGCTTGGTATAATGCCAAAACCAAAAGAAAAAACAAATTATTCAACCAGTGGGAATATTGGAATATTGTCAAAGATTGTCCTAAATTCAGAGTTGTGCCTGTTGGTCCTGAAGTTTTCATGAACAGCACCCCTCTACACTTTACGCTCGATCATTCCTCGCATGTTCATGAAGATGACGCAGAAGAAGTGCCCGAAATGCCCCCCCCGAACAAGCGTCGGGGTGACCCGTTATCCAATTAGGCCTTAAGGTAAGAAGACTTCAAAGAGAAAAGGTAGTGCTTCCAAGAATGATTATGCAAAGTATATGGAAGAACTTGCTAACCAAAATGAATTGAGTTTGGCGTGGGAAATGGCTAAATTTGAGGTTGATAAGGCTAAAGAGGAGGCAAAAGCTGCAGCTGTTGAGAGAGAATTTCAAGCTAATGAGAGAGAAAGAGAGCTTCTTAGGCAAGAAAGGGAACAAGTTAGAGAAGAAAGAATGGCTCAACGAGATCGTGACATTATGAACATGCCTTTAGAAAGGAAGTCTCCAAATTCTAAATATTTTTGGAAGTCGGAGAAAGCGAACGTGGTGCGAAGGAGGCATGCAAGAGAAGTGAGAGCAAGTGAAGATGGTCCTAGCACGACAAGAGAAGATCATCCTAGCACCACAAATTGGTTAGGTGATGATGATCCATTCATGAGCTCATAATTTTCCAATCACTCTGTTTGTAATCGGAGCCCATAATTTTCCAATCACTTTGGGTTGCAATTTATTATTTATTGAATAGAGTACTTTATGTTGTTTCCAATTTATTGAATTTAGTACTTTATTTAAGTAAGAGTAAATTTATTTAATTTGGTAATTTATTTATACTAAGAGAACCTCGAAAAAGGCGTGTCAAATCCATGTATCAAAAGATGCCATTACCTCCAAAATGATACTTTTTACTCATTTTGTCCCCATAAGCGCCTTGACATGCACTTGGACAATTTTTCTAGGTCTAGTGCATACAGTTGATGCTTCCAATCATCCCAGGAAAACCTCACATCGCGCTTTTCTTCAGAAGCCTTTGCAAGTCCATTTCAGTAGGTCTCTAGAGGTACTCTACGGTGTAGATAGATTCGATTGCTCCGCAAAACCTCATCAGAGACTCAAGAATGGTTGATTTCGCCATCCTGGCTATCTCATCCACTTGGTCTGCAGATGCTCCATATGCAAGCATCCGCAAGGTAGCAGTAATTTTTTGCTCAGGAAGGAGATCCATAACACCAAAAGCATCATTTTTTTGTACAAAGTAAGAATCATGGTTGCAAACAACAATCATGATTTTGTTGAACAAATGTTGTTCCATTCTATAACGACATCTAAAGTACGTATTAGGGAATGCATTGTTACGGACAAAATAATCATCCAAGAGTTTCGTACCTCATCATTGCCTGCTTCTATCAAGGTTTGAAAAATGGCTGGGCCTGCAGATCTGAGCCACAACTTGGATGACTCGACGAGAATGTGAGACTCTGGCCATTCTTGCTTCGTCATCTCTCCTTCTACGCTCCTCATCATCTTCCATCTCATTTTGGCCAACTTAGAGATTGAACATTCCTTTTGATTGGTTAAACAATTCTTCCTCTTGCTGATCGATTTCCCACATCATCCTTCAAGAAGAAGACATTGTAAGAAAGAAGCAGAAACTATGAATAATGATACAGAGTTTGATTTTGGTGAACAAGGAAGCAGAAACTATGAATAATGATGCAGATCTTGAAAAAATTGGTGTGAGATTTCTGAGGATGGATGGTGGAATATATGGAGGATTCAGAAAGGATTAGGTTGTAGATAATGCCACGTGGCTTGCCGTCATTCGTTAAAAATCTGATCGAAATCTATCCTTAAAGATTGTAAACAGATTGTGACACGTAGCGCGACGTGATTGGTTAAAAATCTTATCGGAAATCTATCCTAAACGATTCTAAAAAGGTAACGACACGTAGCACGACGACATTGGATAAAAATCTTATCGAAATCCATCACCAATAATTGTCTTTTCGGATAATGACACATGGCGCAACGAGAACGATTAAAAATCTTATTCGAAATTACAAATTAAATTATTTTGTATTATTTTATAAATAAAAAAGTACTAATATTTAATTGCCTATTGCCAGGGCTATTCAGTGTAGGGGTTGAGATGCAAAAGGCAGTTACTGTTCATTAAGGGCAGTTACTGTTTACTGGGTGGATTAAATAGTGAATAGCCCGGGGGGGCCTTTGGAACGGTGGAGTTGCTCTAAACGTCGCGCTCTCTCGAGGACAAGGCAAAATGGAGGCAATTCTCAATATATTATATTATATATCTACTACTTGTTTCATTGCAATAAAATATTAGTGGGTCCAAAGTGTGTCAAGCAACATGTTTTTTTACGGAAAGGGATTCTCTTCAGATCCCTTCCGCCTAAACCTCATGATCCATAAATCTAGATCCTTAAAATTTGATCTAATTGTTGGCTATAAATAGGAGATCTTATTAAAAGTTATCCCGTTAAAAGTTATAATAACTTTAACCGTTAGATCAAATTTCAAGAATCTGGATTTATGGGTCATGAGGATTAGGTGGATGGGATCCGGAGGATCCCTTTCCGTTTTTTACTAGTCAATTGCTTAGTCATTTGGAGGAATGTTTCACCTACGTGGCGCAACAAATCTCATTTGCCTGGGCCTTTTGAGATGCTGAGCATATCCTGAAAACAAAACAGGCAAAATTATACCATACAAACTTAGTAGAATTCGGCCATTTAGTACCATGATTTAATAATATTTTTTTTACTTATAAGTGAGAAGTCTTAAATGCGATTCTTACCAAAAGAAAATTTGAACCACGGTATTACTAGCTCATTGTGAGACTAAGCCAACCTCTCATTTTTAAGTGTAGATTACATAAATTGTTCAAAAAAAAAAAAAAAACTTAGTGGAACCCGGTATAGCTATCCAGCTTTTAAGTAGACAATACTGCCTGCTAAAGGAGAGTAGGTATATATTTGCCTACTCTACCGACTTCACTGAACCAAGATTGACTCATTAAAATCTTGAACAGGACGGATTGACTGCACAACAACTTTGTCAATTCAATACAAGAAAAAAAGAAAAACTTGCCATACTCGC